AATTAGAAAAATAAAGGTCAAAGGGAAATAAATAAAATACTGAGTGGGTTGCCTCCCACTAAGCGCTTGTTTTAAGTCATTAGCTTGATGTTGTTGATTGATCACTTGCCCTTCTTTTATTTCTTTGGGGAAGGAGGATCGGTCAAAACCATCACTTCCCTTTTGTCTTCTCCTTCTTCAGCTAGATATGGCTTGACACGTTGTCCATTTACTGTGAATGAATCTCCACTTTTGCCCCATAGGACGATTTCTCCGTATGGCTTGACTTCCTTTATCGTGAAGGATCCAGACCATCTTGAACGTAGTTTTCCTGAGAAAAGCTTAAGACGAGAATTGAAAAGATGGACTTTATCATTAGGAGCAAAAGATCGATGGACAATCTTTTTGCATGATAAGCTTTAGATCTTTGATTTCTCGTAGGCATTGTGTCGGATTTCTAAGTTGAAGTAGTCGTCTTTCTCCAGCTGTTTTTAAATTCGTGTTCATCTCTTTAGTAGCTCATTGCACTTTATACTCGAGTTCTACAGGAAGGTGACATGCTATTCCATAGACTAGATTGAATGGTGTTGTCCCTAGCAGCGTCTTAAATGTCGTTCGATACGCCCACAATGCATCGTCAAGCTTGGTAGACCAATCCTTGCAATGTACTGCTGTTGTTTTCTGCAAAATCGATTTAATTTCTCTGTTTGAGATTTCTACTTGACCGCTAGTTTGGGGATGGTGTGAAGAAGCGACTTTATGTGTAATTCCATTCTTTCTTAGAAGATTTTCGAAAAATCTGTTGATGAAATGTGATCCTCCGTGACTTATTATGATTCTAGGAACTCCAAAACGCGGGAAGGTTATCGATTCAAACAGCTTGATGACTACTTTCGCATCATTGGTGGCGCTCGCAACTGCTTCAACCCATTAAGAGACGTAGTCTACTGCTACTAAGATGTATTGGTTTCCGGAAGAAGTTTAGAACGGTCCCATGAAATCTATTCCCTAGACATCGAAAATTTTAACTTCGAGAACAAAATTCTGAGGCATCTCATTCCCTTTGCTTATATTGCCCATTCTTTGGCATTTATAACATCGCGACATATAAGCTTGAGTATCTTTGAACAAAGTAGGCCACCAAAAACCCGCTTGTAAAATTTTTGAAACGGTTTTGAATGTTGCAAAATGTCCTGCGTAAGACGAGTCATGGCATCCAAATAAATTCTTTCTATCTCTTTTTCAACCACACATCTTTGGAATAAACCATCAATACATCTCTTGTAGAAATAGGGTTCGTCACAAAAATAATGTCTTATGTCTCGCAAAAACTTTTTCTTCATATATCCAACAAATTGTGGTGGTTCTACATCAGCTTCTAGGTAATCTGCTATGTGCCAAAGCCATGGGGCATCTGATCGTCGCATGAGTTGCCACGGTGGTGCTGTATTGGCAGTAACCGTATCTACTACATAGATGTTTTCTTCTGGTAAGCTATCATTTAAAGGTATTTTTTCTTCAACTCGAATCCATGAAAGATGGTCTGCAACTCCATTATCTGCTCCTTTCCGATCTCGAATTTCGATATCAAATTCTTTCAGCAGGAGGATCCACCTTATCAACCGTGGTTTTGCATCTTTCTTACACATTAAATACTTTATTGCCGCATGATCAGTATGGACTATAACCTTAGATCGTACTAGGTAAGAACAAAATTTCTCAAACGCAAATACAACAGCCAGGAGTTCCTTTTCTGTTGTTGCATAATTGCATTGAGCTTCGTCTAGAGTTCTGCTTGCGTAGTAGATGACGTGCTGCTTCTTATCATTTCTTTGTCCGATAACTACTCTGACTGCATAGTCGCTTGCATCACACATGATCTCAAATGTTAGTTTCCAATCATGTGCTTGCACGACTAGAGCAGATACAGGGGCTTCTTTTATTTTATGAAACGCGGCTAATCACTCATTATTGAGCTCGAAGTTTTTTTCTTTGCAAAGCAAACACGTAAGAAGTCTGGCTATTTGAGTAGTCTGGCTATTTGAGGAAAATCCTTTATGAATCTCCTATAGAATCCAGCGTGTCCTAAGAAACTATGGATGTCTTTCACATTTGTGGGAGGTTGTAGGCTTGTCATAACTTCGATTTTTGCTTTGTGAACTACAATTTCTTTTCCTAAAATTCTGTGCCCAAGCACGATTCTGTCACGTACCTTGAAGTAACATTTTTCCCAATTTAATACTAAGTGCTTATCTTCACATCTTTGCAGAACTTTACCAAGGTTGCCTAAGCATTTTTCAAAGGAAGATCCATAGACGGAGAAATCGTCCATGAATACTTCTATAAAATCTTCAATAAAGTCTGTGAAGATCGATATCATGCATCGCTGTAAGGTAGCTGGTGCATTACATAGTCCAATGGGCATCCGTCGATAGGCGAACGTGCCTTATGAACAACTAAATGTTGTTTTTTCTTGATCCTCCAGTCGAAATGGGATTTGGACAAATCCGAAGTATCCATCAAGGAAGCAATAGTAGGGGTGATTAGCTACATTTTTAGCATTTGATCGATGAAGGGAAGAGGAAAGTGATCTTTTCTAGTTGCTGTGTTCAGTTTCCGGTAATCGATGCACATACGATGTCCGATAACTGTTCTTGTAGCAATCATCTCGTCTTTATCGTTTTCAATGACAATGACTTCTCCTTTCTTCAGGACAACATAAAAGGGCCCAAGTGCTGTCTGAGATAGGAAATATTATTCCGGCTTCTAAAAGTTTCGTAATCTCCTTCTTGAAAAAAAATCATGAGATTAGGATTTAGTCTCCTTTGACATTCGATTGAATTGTTAGCATTATCCTCGAGATTGATCTTGTGCATACAAAGATCTGGAGAGATTCCAGGTATTTCATCAAGCGAATATCCTAAGGCTTTCCTATGCTTTCTCAGTTCAGACAACAGCATTGTGGTTTCTTTTTCCGTCAAACCTGAGTTTATAATGACAGGGTAAGTCGAATTTTGTCCAAGAAAAGTATACTTAAGTCCGACTGGAAGAGGTTTAAGCTCGACTTTTGGGCTTTAAGCTTGCTCCATGAATCATTTATTGCTGCGGCTGTGTCTTTAGGAGGCTTAGGAATGTTTGTTTGGTCCTCAAGATCTAGATAGTTTAAAGGATTTTTAAAAGTTTCGGACTTATCAAGTATACACGCGCACTCACTTAAAATTCTTTCAAGGAAATCGTGTTCGTCTTTTGTAGATGCGAGTTTGACACTTAAAGGGTCGTAAAGAAGTAATTCCATCCAACTCATTGATCCAACAAATTTTGCCCTCCGAAGTTGGTTTATCAAAAATTTTGTTCATGCCAAACTGCATAACTAGACCGGCTAGATGAAGATCACAAGATGAAGATCAATTTTTCTTCAGAGACATTGATTATAGCCCTGGCTGTAAACAGGATGGTCGTCCAAGAATAAGAGGGTCTCTTGGTTCTCTTTCCAGTTCCAGAAATACGAAATCGGTTGGTATGGAACATTTTTCAATTTCGATAGGAACATCTATTAAGATACCTACGCGTTGTCTAACGGAACGATGATCTATTACTAAGGAAATTTTAGTGGGCTTGAAAGTATGATATCCTAAATGTTTTGCAACTGAGAGAGGCATCATGTTTATGCCTGATCCCAAGTCACAAAGAGCGCGCTTAAAAGCCATATTATTGATAGTGCAGGAAAGTACGAAGCTCCCAGGATCATCTTTCTTTTGAGAGATCCGGCTTTGCAAGATAGAACTACATTCATGACTTATCATCATAACACCTTCTTCAAGAGTTAAAGAGTTTTCTAGAATACCCTTCATGTATTTCCTTAAAGCGGGAGTTATAGCACAAGCTTCTAGGAAAGGTAATCTCACATTTAATTGATCGATTAGCTCTTTCAGCTTAGCTTTTTCTTTCTCCTTCTTTGGGGCTCTTAAGGCTCTGGGGTTTGGCGGTTTAGGATTGTATACAAGAGTTGTTGGAAGGGGGATAGGATCATCTCCGAGATTTTCTCGAGACGTCTCTTCTCTTGCTTCTTCTCAATCATTCTCTCCTACAACTTCTTCTTCAATATCTTCAATCGTCAATCTTTCTCTTTCTTTTTCATTTTCCGTTTTCTTTCCCTTTTTCTCCTCTGTGGGATCTTTAGGAAATTCAGGCTTTTTGTTAGCAAAACCGCTCCTAAGTGTGATGGCTTTCACATGATCAGAGGGGTCGGTTTCTCTTGAGCTTTTGAAAGAACTTTCACTTGGCTCATCCTCAGAATTATCTATGTTCTTAAACATATCTTTGATCATCAAACCAAGAATGGTGGAAAATTTATCATTGAAATCTTCTTGCATCCTTTTTATTTTGGAGCTAAGATCACTGATTTTCCTAGACTTATATTTTTCAAGCTCTAGAATCCTTTTGTTTAGGTTTTCAGCTTCAGAAGAGGGAAAGTTTGACTAAGGATTGGAATTAGATTGAACAGCCCAGATTTGTTCGGAAGAGTGTTGCCCGTGGTCGTAGGACTCGCAACTGTGGTGGAATGGGTTTTGGCCGCGGTCAGCATCAGCACGACCATGGTAAAAGGAAGCTTGACCGCGGTACGAAAGAATGTACCCGCGGTGATCAGGTACGAAAGGAAAATCTTTAATTTGAAAGACTTTTTTCAGTGTTTTATCATCTCTTGGTTATAAGAATCCATCGGGTTGTCACAATCATCAAAGTTACACATATTGTGTGCCTTGTTTGGTTGTTGCAATCCAAGTTGACTCATTATTTGGTAGAGACACTTCATAACTTCTGAAATCTCTTCTTTCTCCTTAGGAAGTGCAGATTTGCCAAAGATTGCTTGGTTACGAATACTTCCAGCAGGGTTGTTGATGAAAACACGAGCGTCTTCTGCAGACTTAGTGGAGATATCTCCATTGCTTGCTGTGTAGAAAGAATGTTGTAATTCTTGAGTTATGCCCCGGTAGAAGATATCCATCAGGTATTCATCGGAAAACCCGTGATGTGGACAATCTCTTTGATATTCTCTACATCTCTCCCATGCATCTTTAAGATCTTCGTCTTCCTTTTCTTTGAAATTTCTTATCTTGTTCCTTAAGAGGTTGGAACGAGTTCTAGTGTAAAAGCGATTTAGGAAAGCCGCTTTACAATCTGCCCACGTTTTTATAGACGCAGGTTGCAAATATTTTAGCCACTTGCTGGCATTGTCTCTCAAAGAGAATGGGAAAAGACTACACTAATGGTAATCCCCATTTGATGTAATGGTTGCACACAACTCTTCGAACGAGTCGATATGGTCCATCGGGTGTTCGGTTGAATAATCATAGTATTGATTTTGTTAAACTAAATTGATGTAAGGTACCTTTATTTTGGTTTTTCCATCCTATGGTAAGGGTGGTGTAATTGCTCTTCGATCTCCCAAAAACTTTTCGAGTGAATCAAAATTTCCAATTAGCTCATCATCATCTTCACGTTTTGCTAATCTGATCAGTTCTACATCGTCAAGCTCATCATCACTCGGATCATCATCCACAATAGGTGGTGGATCGCCAAGAGCACTGGGAACACGTTCCCGGTCTCCCATTGTCGAGTAACTTGGAAAAATCAAAAGAAAAAGTAAAAATAAACATGTGTTCTGTTGGATTTAAGCTGAGATTCGCAACGAAACAAATCAAAGTTCTCGGAAACAGCGCCAAAAACGTGATGCAAAGAAACGGGGGTTGTAGGTTTTACTAAGCTTCAGGTTTTAAATTTATAACCCATGTCTGCAATTGCACAGATGTGCGCTGTAGTACTTAGGGTATCAATCCACAGAGACTTAGTTGTTTCAGTACGAATTCACGCTAATGCGTAAATCAGATTAGAACTAAACAGATTTGGGTTTTGGTTTTGGATTGTCACTAAATCTAAACTAGAAAGCAAGTACAAAGTAATTAAGAGTGAAATCAGGTAAATGCAAGTAAAAATCGAAAGGTGTAAATAATTAAAACGAATGCTGGGCTTAAGGGTATTTGCATGGATTCATGGACTAGACCTATTGACAACGGAGATTCTAGAACTCAAGGCACAGAAGTATGACTAGCCTCCCAGCACTAACCAACTGTCTCTCGCAACCCTAACCAGTAGGTTTCCACTCTGGTCCTGGAAGAGAGTAGATGCAATAGATTGAACAAGACTCATCAATATTCACAAATCATCCATAGGTAGGTTTTCAATCCTATGGTGGATTTGCTCGTTTCACCCTAGGTTAGACAATCAATGAAAACTTTTGCAACATATCATATCAACATCGAATTCTAAGTGGCCAGCAGAGAATCACACAATAAGTATAAAGATAAACGAAGAACACCTAGAAGATTATTAATCCTAAATCAAGCGATTCATAGTAAAAAAAAAACACAAAATTCCCTTGAAAATAATCCCTTTCAACCCAACTGGAAAACTACTCAAACATATTATAACAAAGCATCATAAGGTATTTTAGGTTGCAGGAAATTAAATAAAAAAAAGAACAAGAAAGAAGAACAGAGGCGCATATGGAGGCACGATGATGCTCTCCTTGATGGCTCCTTCTTTGAAGAGGGCGGCTTTTCTAGGGTAAAATAAGGCACACACGAAAATCGACTTGTAAAAAGGGTATTTATAGCTTTTGGAGTTGTCTTGGACACTTAGGGCTTCAAAAATAATGAAGGAAATCGACTTGGACTTGAATTAGGTCGTATGGGAAATGAACGTTGTCTGGCCGTGGTCGCGGTGGTTGTACCCGTGGGAAAGCATGGCTTGGCCGCGGTACCGGCTTGTGCTCTCCCTGGAAACTGCATTTTCTGTATTTAGTGCATTGGGATTATCTGACAATCTAACCGTTGGATTATCTTCAAACCAAGTGCATTAGAAAGCTGGTTGTATCCTCTATGTTGTCTCAGATTTTAGGGGTGATTGGACGGTGATAAGGCATTCATCGTTTGCCACACTTCTGACATTCTGCATTTATCCAAAATTGCTTATTTGTTCCAAATTGCACAACTTTAGTCCAAGTTTCTTGAAAAGTCTTTTGAAACTCTAAAACATTGAAAAAACATAGTTAAAACACATGCATAAGACATTAATATGATCCATAAAAGTGGTCAAAATCTGGTGTTATCACCTACTGTCCGAGACAAAGTTCAAAGTGACAAGACGAAGACCACGTGTAATCGACCAAAGGAGAAGGACAAGGAAAATGAAGGTCACCAGTCGAGAGCTTTTGCAAACGTCAAGATTGTTGTCCCACCAGATTTAGTGGACACCAACGAAGAGGAGATCCAAGAATTGATTGAAGGCACTAAAAAGGTCCTAAGCAATGTTAAAGTCCATAAGAAGAATAAAGGAAAGAAGCTTGTACTACAAAGAGAAGAAGTTGAATCAACAAAGCTCAAGGATATTCAAGGCACACCTAAGAAAATGCCATATCCCCTCGCCTGATTCTTTTACTGAAGTCGAGCTAAACGACTTAAAACAAAAACGCTTAATGGGAAGAAAAACATTTAGGTATACTTGTTCTCAAGTTTTTTTTATCTTTTCTATTAATGTTTTTCTTTTACCATTTAGTTCACGTGTTCCATTAAAACAAAAAGACCAAACAACTCAAAAAATCAAAAATCCCAAAAAGAAGTGTCAGTTCTAGTTGTTCGGTCCAGCAGAAACTGATGGAAAGAAGTTTTGGCCGCAAGAGGATAGGCCGCGGTCGCGACCAAACCGACCCGCGGCCGACCTAGCTTCGACCGCGGTCCCGAGAATCTGGCAGGGTGATAACACCTGACTTTGACCACATTTATAGATCACTTTCAGTATCTTATGCAGGTATTTTCAATCACTTTTGAAGGTTTTATAAGTGTTTTCCATGTTTTGGAGTTTTAAAAGACTTTTCAGGTTTCTTAGGCAAAAGCAATGTAAATTAGAGAAAAATCAACTTTTGGCCAATTTCGGACCGTCAGAAGTTTCACATCCGATGAAGACTTTCTAACCGTCTGATCAAGCTCAAATTTGAACACCAGATAAAGGACACGAACAGATTTCCAATACAAGTGGAATCAAAGCAATCTAACAGTTCGATCATAAGTTATTTCCAATTTACTGAAGACATGTTCTGCAGTCTCGCGAAAGAAGCAATGAAGTTTGGAGATCATAGACCAACCACCGCGGCCCAGGAGCTCGTGACCGCGGTGAACAACATCCTGGCCACGCCTGAGAGCCTTCATCCATGGTGGACAAGCATTTACCAGACTTGGAGAAGCCCAACTCTGCGACAAGCCCATAAACGGCCCAATGACCTGTTTTCAAGCCCAACTCATTCTCTCTTCACAAGAAGCCCTAAGGACGACCAGAAACACTTGAAGACCTATAAATATGTATTTTAGAGACCTAATTTCGTGTGTGCTCCTTTCCCCTTGATAGGAAGGCACCAAACTTTTGTTTCTTAGGTTTAGATTAGGGAGATAGAGATTTTTCTCTTGAACCTTTGTTCTTTCTTTCATCTATCTATTCAGTTTATGCAATCTCTTTTAGTTTACTGCTTATCTATTTCAAAACCAATGATGATGTTGTCAAGCTCAGCCATGTCTTAGTAGTCACCTTTCTGGGTGAAGAGGGCCATCGAAGAGGGACCCTATGACCGATGCCATCTAGGTTTTTGGGTTAAAGGTTTTTGATTTTTAATGATTCTCCCATTCATCCAAATCTCAATGCGGTAACGCTGGAGTAGCTAACCAGTGTCCGATCCTAGGTTAAATCGGAGCCACGAGAGTGTTGTATCTGGGTTACCTGAACTGGATCTTATGGACGTCACCGTCGTAGGAGACAAAAGCTACCTACGGAGGATACGTAAGCCGAGATGGATTCCGAGCTAAAATGCATGATCTTACTCTGGCATGAGAGCGAGAGTTAACTGCCATGAATGAGTGATTAGATGATTAGGGTGACGAGAGTTGGCTAATCTTACAAGTGTATATCCTAATTCCAGAATCATAGAAAATCCTTACCTAGATTCCTTTTGTCATAAATCATGAACCCTAGAGATGAACCCTAATTCCCAGCACGTTTTTCATCCTTGTTTTGATCTATTTTTATTTCTTGTTTAGTTTAGTAGAAATCGTGACACCAAAACCCCACAGAAAAATCCCACACAAAAACCCCCATTGGTCTTTGAGTTCGATTACTAATCCAGTTTGAAGTTTCTGCAGAAAAGACAACTCTCCCTGTGGATCGACACACCCTAAGTACTACAACGCACGGCTGTGCACTTGCAGACACTAGGGTTTATAAATTTAAAACTATTTTGCGACAGCAACCCTAGCTCGCATCAAGTTTTTGGCGTCGTTGCCAGGGAGAGATTCGCTCTTGCTTCTGCCAAACTTCATAGGTTAGTAAATCCGACTCTTAGACACCTTTTTCTTTTAAATTTTTGTTTTATTTTTCTTTGTTTCAGGTTTCTGGAACATGTACTCACCTTGGGAGCAAGATGAGATCATTGGGCGAGGGTGTTATTACCCGTGTGTTGCTCAGTACTCTCATGTACAGTGAATCAGACGACATGGATTGGAACTCTCATCAGAATCATCATATTCGCCCATGACAAGTCATCAACCATCTCACCCATGTCGATTTAGTTCACAACAAAATCGGTTAAGTCCCAAGCTTAGTCGACTTGTTGCTGAGATTAATCAGCAAGCTGATGAAGAGATGGACAGTATGCTTCAAGAGCTGAATGAATTTGAGTCTAGAGATGATGGATGTTGGGTAGCTTATGAATTATATGGAGAAACCTCCTTCAAATTTGTTAAAGAATACCATGTCCAATGAAAATCTCGTGGATCCTAATTCTCCCATCATCGAATCCCTTGACCAAGGAAGAGAAGAACCTGATTCTGTTCCCAACAATGACCTCATCACTACCAAACCATTTGAGTATCTCGAAGTAGAGAAAGAGGATCAATTTCCTCCTGTTCTTGACGATCCAAAGCCTTCCTCTGCATCAATTCCTCACAAATTTGAGTGTGAGAAAAATCTCATGAAGGATGATACACTAATGGTGAAGTTGCTGATTGAAGTTCTTCTTATTCTTCGTGTTTTCCACATCTTTTTCTTATCTTCTTCTTCTTCTACTTCTTCTTCTTCATCATCGCCTTTGTCTTCTTCGTTTTCTCCGACTTCATATTCTTCCTTTTTTCTTTCGTCTTTTATATTAATCAAATACATTTACCTCAAAACTTTAACTCTCTCTCTCTCTCTCTATCCCCCATCTATGCGTCCCTCCCTATCATTCTTTTTCTCTCCATCTCCCTCTTTCAATATTTCTCTCTCACTCTCTCCCTTCCTCTCTCGTCCTATTTTGTATATATCATATGATTTAGACAACTACATTTAAAGTAAAAAGTGTTTCGTATATTAAAAAATAGGAACACAAAAAGACGAAGTAACATATATTTAATATCACGTACCTGGAAAGTTTAACTTTCTCTCCCGTTTCTCTTTATATATATTTCTCTCACACTCTCTCTCTCTCCCCATCTATATGCCCCTGAAAGCATCTACATGTCCTTGAAGGCATTAACTCAATTTCTCTCTCTCATTCTTTCTCCAAATTCACCAGCCTCTTCCCCTTCTTATTCTTCAACATTTTTGTCTTGTCATAATTTTTCTTATCATGTTTTTTTTTTCTTTTTTTCCATAATTTTTCTTTCTTTTTCCCCCTTCTTTTTTTTCTTTTTTTTCTTATCATGCGATTTGCAGTGGATGCGTTCATTCTTGTGATGGCGGGAATGTGGATAAGGTACTATACTGGAGTTTGGGATTTCAAAATGGACATATCTCGTCGTGGAAGGTGCATAAATTGCAAAGATGTATCCACACCAGAGGATTTGAGAAATCTGATTGCGCATGAGTACGAATTAGACCCGAGAGTTGTTTATGAGGAGATGTCCTACTGGTTTGATGATATTCTAGCTGAGCTTAATGGTGACGGGAGTTGTCCATATGTGATAGTTACGAATCGAGAGTACAAATTCTTCCGTTTGCTGCATAAGTGAGATAAATCTGTGAATTTATTTGTCACATTCAGGGAGTCAGTAAATGGTGAAATGGTGAGATTGAAATGGAAGGAAAGTGTTGAAGTTCAAATTGCTAGGGAACAGAGAAAATCCTTAGGGCCAACAAACATCATAGCCGCTTCTTTGGCAGCGTCTAGTCAACCCGATGATGAAGATATCGATGATTGTTTGCTGATAGCACATGCCGAGAAAGTAGTGGTTGAGGCCGCAATGAATACCTCCAAAGGTGTACAACCTAATGTTCTAACTAACACTGTCTCTGTAGACCAGCCTGTGTTGGGATTAAAAATGTCACAGAAATCAGACGAGAAATTAGAGGCTGAGGCCGCAATGAACACCTCCAAAGATGTAGAACCTGATGTTCCAACTAAAGCTGTCTCTGTAGACCAGCCTGAGGTGGGATTAAAAATGTCCCAGGAATCAAACAAGGCGAGAGATTTGGAAGAGAATGAAGCTGACGATGTTGACGATGATGCATACGGCTCTGAGGATGATTATGATCCGGATTACGATTTTGACTAGTGGAATGATTACGTACTAGCAGATGGCAAGGGTTTCCATTGTAAGCCTGCATTTGATGAGGAGAACGATGACTCTGGTAGTTCAGGGGGTTATGGAAGTAGTAGAGAAAGTGAGCCGAGTGATTCAAACCATATGGACTACTCAAATGTCTTAACTGAGAGTCTGATTCATTTTCCTGGAAGAAATAAGACTGTATGTGAGAAACCAGCTCTGGCTTCTCATGGAGATGATGATGATTTTGAGGAAACTCCTCCAGCGTCCGGTTCAGCTGATGTCGTTTGGGGGCGTCAGAACTGAATAAAGCGATTAAGCGTACAGAACTATATGGATTTCCGGATGTGGCACCAGTGTCTGATGATATGCAAGGGGATTTCGATGATCTTGATTTGACAAATGAGGATGAAGAGATATGTGTTGGGAAAAAGTTCAGGAACAAGGAACACTTTAAAGATACGTTGGCCACCTATGCGCCAAAGAAGATAGTGACGTTCGAATTCAAAAGGCATGCGAATAAGTACACAGTCGCAAAATGTCCATCAAAGATATGTGATTGGAGGGTGTTGGGGCATCAAGTAGACGAGTCTGCGTTGTATGAGGTTAGGAAGGCGTGCTTGAAGCATACATGCCACCCGGATACAAGAGGAAAATTTTCAAATCATGCCACTTCTAAAGTCATGGCGGCTCTGCTGAAGTCTAAGTACGAAAACGCAATAGTTGGTCAATGTGCGAGAAAGTTACCTCCAATTGTTATGTCCGAATATAATATTACAGACTCTTACTGGAAATGCTGGAAAGCTAAGGAGCTGGTTATATGCTCTGCGCACGGAACAGAATAGACTTCTTTCAAATTATTACCGATTTACCTCCATGTGCTCAAGTATTCCAACCCCGGTACCATAACACATTTGTCAACTGAGAGAGATGAAAAAGGTATGACAAGGTTTATGTCCGTATTTATGGCATTGGCTGCCTGTATTTACGATGAAAACATTTGAAAGCGGTAGTTGTTGTTGATGGAATCCACCTGTTTGGTAAGTATAAGGGTTGTCTATTAACGGCCAGTGGACAAGATTCTAATTACCAGGTTTTTCCAATTGTGTTCGCCATTCTCGATGCAGAGACTGACTAGACATGGAGGTGGTTCTTTGAGAAGTTGGTAGACATTATTCCAGATACTTCTGAGCTTACTATTATCTCGGATAGGCAAGGTGGAATTGCCAAAGCAAAAGGAGTGGTATCCACAGGCACACTACGGTGCATGTCTGGTCCATATCCAAAGAAATGTTCACGCTAAACACAAAGGTTCCGGTCAGAAAGGTTTGGTCGGAAAGGCAAGAGAAGCGTTCACAGTTTCTAACTTCAAGAGACTATATGCAAGGTTGAAGGATGTTGATTATAGATGTTGGGAGTACAATGAAAAAATCTCTCTTGCATTGTGGACTAGGTCACACTTTACTAGTCAAAGGTATAATATGACGTCCAGTAACATTGCAGAGTCTCTGAACAATGCACTATTTGCAGCAAGAGACGGTACAATCGTTGCAATGCTAGAATTTATCAGGCGAATGTTAAGTAGGTGGCTTGAATGCAGAAGAGAGAAAATTCAAAAGATGGATGGTGACGTTCTAGAAGAAGTTGACAAGTTAATGAACCTTCAGCAAGAAAAATCAGCTGCCCTTTCGGTTCAAGGCATTTCTGCGTGGGAGGTTGAAGTCAGTTCTGAGTTCATCGGTGTACGGCGGCATGTAGATCTTCTAAACAAAACATGCACGTGTCTAGAGTCTCAGACATTGAAATACCCTTGCCGACATGCCATGGCCGCAGCTAGGCTTCGTCAAGTGGAGTACAGCAGTTTGGTTAACCCAATTCTTAGGAAATCAACGTGGAGTCCGACCCTGACGACATTTGTATCCCTGCTGAGGTGCGAGCCCTGACTATTATGCCAGCAAAGTCAAAAAAGTCCATCAGGAAGGCCTCCGACAAAGAGAAAACTTTCAGCAGGAGAGTATCCTCAGATTAGTTCTCAGCGAAACAATTTTCCCCCAATCGTAATATTACTGTCTACTGATATATGCTGTTACAGGTTACGAAAAAGAAGAAGCCAAACATATGGTCGAGATGTGGAAATCCCGGACATAACCAGGCAAAATGCAAGGAACCATTGGGTTGACCGGGTGTGGCTTTTGTTGGGTGTTTTAAGGGGCGTTTAGTTTGGTTTTTGTGGGGGTCTTGTTGGTTTTTGTGGGGGTCTTGTTGGTTTTTGTGGGTGGCTCTCGCTTTGGTTTTCGGCTTTTGTTTCCTTGTGTAAACTATGTTATTTTTGTAAAACCTGCCATGGCATAAACTATGTTATTTTTGTTAAACCTCCCATAATCTATGTTTTATTTTGTTTTTGTTAGCATTTGTTATATTTGTTATCGATTATATGGTGTACACTGGACAAGGTGTACACTAGACAAGGTGTACACATTATCTGTGTACGCTAGACACGGTATGCAACCTGTATCCCGTACACATTACATGGCGTACGCATATAATATGGGTGTACACAAATAATATGGTTGTATTTCATTATATGTAAACTGTGAAAAACATAAGAGGAAGAAATAACAAACAATGATCATGTCTCTGAAATGAAAAAGTAGGACACAACTACACAAAGAAACGGTTTATTCAAAAAAATCAATTCATTACCTTTTTGACAAACCGCAATTATTCAAAATGGTTTATCACGAATAAACGCGAATCAAATACAAAACGACAAAAAACCAATTAAGTACCTTCCTGAAACCCGATTTTTTCTAGGCACCTTTGACCGTCTCGTTTTCCTCTCTTAAAAACCTACTTCTTCTCCTCTTCTATAAAAAAGCGTCCCATCCTCCTTCATTAAAACAAGTTACAGCACACAGAAAAAGTGAAATATCCATATTAATACTTTTCCTACTTCCTGAAAATGTACTCCTCCAAAGTTATTTCATTGCAATTGAAGGAACTGCGGAGGAAAAGAGTTCGTTTTTCAGTACAGGTATTTTATTGGTTACTGTTTTACAGTTTCGTTCATCTAAATCGTCTAAGTAATTTGGTACAGGTATTTAATTGGTTACTGTTTAACAGTTTTGTTCTTCTAAATCATCTAACTAATTTGTGTTTTGCCGATTTGATTAGGACATGTGGGTGAGGACTTGTATCACTGGGAAGCTATCCTAATGGGGCCAAAAGGTTCACCATATGAGAATGGGATTTAGACATTCACTTTCCTCTGGAGTACCCCTTCGCGCCATCGAGGGTAAGGAATGAAGCATATGATTGCTGTCTCTATTTACTGTATTTTTAGTTAGGACTACCTTAAATAAAGATTTCAATTCCTAATAACACTGTGTTATTGCAGGTGACGTTCAAAACAAAAGTCTATCACCCAAACGTGAATACTTACGTGAACATTTTTCTTAAGATGTTGAACCCAACTCACTTCAAGACCAACTATAGCATCAATGATGTATTTTTACATATTCCCATATTGGTTTTATGAAAGAAAGAAATTGTTATTGTCTTTTGCTTATTTGTGTCTAAATTTCTATGAAATCAAGGTTTATTTGTGTCTACATCTCTATGAAATCAGGTTCTCACTGAAATACACCAGATGTTAACTGCCCCCCAAATAAGTGAAGGACACTATTTTGCTGAAGACATTGCAAGAATTTAAGTGGAAGATAGGGCTGCTTTTGAATCCACTGCACTTGCATTGAAGGTGGAGCACGCCAGAGCATGAAGTCGTCTATTTTTTTTTTAAATAATGAAAACTCTATTTATGTTGAATTTGTCTTTATTTGGAAAAAAACATAAACACTATGTTTGCTTTAATTTATTAATTTTAAGTTGGTCTCCTTTCTATAATTCTTGACATATGTTTTGTGATTTTTGTTTTCCTATGTGTTTGCCGTAATTTTTGTTAGCGTTTTTTTCTGTGTTTTATGATTTTCTTGATTTTTATTTTGATAGTTTGCCATATGTTAATTTGAGGAAGCATATGTTATTTTTGTTAATAAGTATGTTAATAAGTATCGGATATAAAACATAAGTCATGGAATAATAATAGAAAGCGTCACCATTACATAATATAAATGAAATATAGGTGTACACTTCATATAGTGTACACATAATGGTGTACACTAGAAAAGGTGTACACATTTATGGTGTACATTTTCGAAGGTGTACTCATAAAAGGTGTACACTTGCTAAATTGTGGTGCGGTGTACACTTGAAAACATATTTTTAAAGCATTTTGCAGATACGACGTGCACACCAATATATGAAGCAACCATTGCAAAGTGTTTGGATCTCAGGTTCATAATGATCAAATGCACATTCAGGCGCCTTGATGACGTCGTCGTTTGGATAAGAAAATGAGTCTAAGTAGGTATCCATGTATGCAGTACCGAAATATGAAATCTCAAGAATTAACTCCTCACCTAATTGTCGCACACGCTCTGATTCTAGACTTCCGTGATTGGTTGCCAACAGTTGAAATGTTTGGCTTGCGGAACAAGGGTCACCCAAGCAAACGCTGAAAATGGCCGACGCCAGGGTCGAGAGAGCATCGGTAGGTACATTTTCTTTCAGCATGCTCCTACTTGCAATGAGATTGGCGCCTCGGGTCGCAAGTCTCAAGCCTTCCCAGTATCTTGCTTCACGGTTGCCACTCGCCAAACATTTTAGAAAGAATGTGCGTCTTTTGTTTCCAGGGCATATCTTGTTGGGAACACAACAAAGAACATAAATGTTGCAAGATTTGAAGGCATCCTCAGTGAAAACAAGCCGGAGTGTGCGCTTCCCTACACGGAAAAATGGGCCAAGTCCGCAAAATACATCACTGCCGACCCTCTTGACAACGTCCAGAAGAATTTCATCAGGCAAGTTTGGGAGAGTCATGTTTGGAAATAAGATTGTTTATGGGAAAGAAGGCAAGTTTACTTGAGACAAAGCAAAGTCTTTATATATGGACTTGACTGTGTGTGGTTGGCGGGTGAAGATATTATGATAGGTTCTGTCAAAAAGTAAAATTTTCACCTAACCATTGTATATTGATGTTGTTTGAATATCAAGGAACATTTTATAAGCAACTTTTTCACGAACACAACCTAATATAAAAAAATGACCACAATTTATAAGCTAAGAGAGAATAATGGTCAGTTCGCATTTATTGAAGTGCTCGATACCATTTTTATTTAAAAAGTATGATAGATTTAGGGTCAGTTTAGCAGTTATTGAAGTGCCTCTTAACTTTCTACCAACCACGAATTTGGACATTGATATATCCATCCACAATGTCTACAAATAAATCTAACCAATTTTATTAGTCCGCACACTCAAACAACAATGCATTACTTAGGCGATGATGTTTTAGGGTTAATAGTCAAGAAACTAGCTGAGGATAATTCCTACCATCTTGGCTCGATCATTCGTGCAGGAAAACATAGAAGAGCCATCGCGTTCACCGACGACGTGTTACGGTCCGTAGACATTTCTCGATTCGTTGATTCACCTCTCGACGTCTCACCAAACAACCCTTATCGCCCATTCTTTCTACGTTATCTTGCCGCCAACAATCCACGAGCTATCTATTTTGAAGCCATTAGAGTTGCCTTGCATGAGCAAAGATTGTATTCAGCGATTAGGATGCTTTACCGACTTGTTCCATGTGACAAACATGCTACTTTCGCATGTGCCATGTTTGAAATTTGCGTCGGACGCCCATGACGAACAAAAAAACTCTTGACGTATGCCTTCACCCTTCATGTCCCTTATGCTGCTAATCAAATAAAGCGGTTAGCCCACGATGTTATACATCTCGTCTGGGAATTCGCACTGGCCCGTTTGAAGATTCGTGGGGTAGCCGTTGGTCCTTCCCCATTACCCTACCAGAAGAACCTATATCGGGTTGTGTAGATGACCATTACGATGGCTCCAATAGCCCAGATTGCGAGTATTGTCTTCTACAATGCACGATCCTACGCATAGGATATTTTCTTTAGATTTTGTCGATGTTTTTTTTTTAATTTGTCGGTATTAGTTCTTTTGCAACTATAACACTGGAAAACAGTGTAACAACTAGCTAAATTAGTTTTCTTTTGCAACGACTATGTAAGTAACTAAATTAAAGGTACAAAGTAAGTGAACATCACTTCAGATAAAGTTAGGTAAACAAGTAATTGTAACAACTAGTTATATTAGTTTTGTTGCAGCTAAACATAAAACAAAACTAGTAAGTAGTTAACTAAATTAAAGGCACAAAGTAAGTAAACATCACTTCACAAAGTAAGTAAGACAAGTAATTGTCTTGGCATTAACTATTTCTCAACAACAACAACCTATCAAATTCAATAAAATGGACATAAAATGATGAAAATGTTGAGAACATAGTTATTCCAACACAAACCCTATACACATTCCAAAAAAAAGAGAGATTTACCAGATCATGTTTTCGAAATCATTGTCAAGAAAGTAGGTAAGGCTGACTGCTTCTACCTTGGACCGATTATTCTGGCAGGGACACGGGGTAGAGACATTGCGTTTAGCACGGAAGTGCTCAGATCAGCGACCCTATGGTGATTGCATGACCCACCTACAAGATTAGCCTTTGGAGGAGTATATCGGCATTTTTTCATGCGCTGCTTAGCTGCGAGAAATCCACGCGCCATATTGCTTGAAGCTATAAGGTTCGTGGCAAAAGAGGAGAAGATATATACCGCCATCAGGATGTTAAACAAAATCGTTCCATCTGACGTCTATGCCACTTACAGCTGTGCCATTTTGCAAATGTGCCTGGGTCACCCTAACAGAGGCAAAAAACTTCTAAAGATGGTTTTCAGGTACCACTATCCTCATCATTCACATGAACTTCTTGAAGTGGCCGAAGATCTAGTATACTTATGAT